TTTTTGTTTTCTGTTGATTTTTAAAAATAAAACTTATGGTAAACGGTTACGTGAATTCAAAACCAACTGATCTACATTCAAATGGACACTAAAACGGGTTAAAAGCCCCCCCCCCCTTTCCATCCTCGACTCCCTTTTCAAAAACCAATGCCATTATTCTGATACAAAAAGACTCTGCTGCTGTAACAAACGTATCAAACGTGCAACCTGCGAGTGCGGGCAGATTATGGACCAGTTGAGAGGACGAGGAATCCCCGTGACAAGTATGAATATGAAATGTGTTGAGAATATTACCACCAAATAGATTTCCCCAACCCCCGAACCCGACCCTCGACCCTCAACCCCCGACCCCTGCCCAAACCCTCGTTAAAAAAAACATTAAAAACAAAAACTACCACCGCCGCTGCCACCACGACCGCTTTAGTCTATGAGGGGAGGGGGGAGTTGTTTTTGTTTTTGTTTTGTTTTATTTTTTGTAAAAGTTTTACAGCACTTGTAGTAATACAAATATTTCATTTAAGTGCCAAAGATTAGAGATCTACTACTAGAGAGTTAACATACTCCATAATTTAAAAAAATAATACAAGATAAGGATGATAGATGTTTTGTTTTAGTAAGGTTTTGCGGCGCTCGCAATTGCATAAGGTCGTATGAGCGCCAAGGGGTAGATGTCAACAAAGAAGTTCAAACGGCGAACCAGGCATACTCTGCTCACCTCTCTAGCCTCCTCAACAGCACAAAGTCGACTGCGACTATCAAGGCACCCCGTAAATCACAGATATGCGAGAAAACAATTGAACACAACAAAAATCCAACATCGTTTTTATAGACAAGGAGAAGGTTTTTGACAGAGTAAACCATGCAAAACTAGAAGATGCTCGAAAAGTACGGCGTCAGAGGACAAACGTTCGATAATGTCAGAGCTCTATAGACCAACAGCAGAAGCTTGGTAGGCTATATCTCCCCTCCTGTTTATAATATATATGGACCCAATAACGCAAGGTGCAAACCAAAGCCCAGAAAGCCTAAATGAAGTTCTATTCGCAGACGACCAATGTCTTATTCATCCAAACCAACAAAGCCTCTAAAAGTCCCACTTCCGAACTGAACAACAGCAGCGAAAAATTTAACACGAAAATAAACACATCAATAAGAGAAGTTATGAAAGTGAGCCGAAACCATAGTTCCCGGAACGTCCATGTCAATATTAAACATTAAACAACTGAAACATATGAAGGAGTTTACATATCTTGGCAGCACTATTTCTTAAAACGGGTCGGTAGATGGAAAAATAGAAATGCAAACTCAAAGCGCCAATGCTGTCCCCTACCAGCTCGCACCCCTCATATCTCATCCAAACATCTCCACAGACATAAAGAGACAGCTTATCACCTCAATATTCAAACCAACATTATGCTACCAGTGCCAGACCTGGACATTAAGTAAAACCCGTGAAAGCAAAATCTCTGCCTGCGAAATGAAATGTCTCTGCAAAACCCCTAACATCACAAGACGAGACAGGCAGGTGAAATGAAGAAGAGCAGCTATCGGCACTCAGTCCTGCCTGCATTACATAGAAAGACAGAACAAAGTGGTTTGACAACCTGCTACGTATGTCACCTGGCCAACCAGCGTCGAGAGCCTACAACACCAAGCACTCAGGCTATAAAGGAAGAGGAAGGCAATGCAAAAGGTGGATCGAGCGGGTCAAGGAAACCCTCAGAAAACGAAATATCACAACTGAAAGAGCTGTGGAGCTGGCCTACCATAGAAAACTGCATCTCCCCTCGACGCTTAACGGCAACAGAGGATGAAAAAGTAAAAGTAAGTAAATAGACAAAGTTAGGGAGGTGTGACAGAGTTAGGGGAGGTGTGACAAACCTTGGGCGATGGCACCACAGAGTAGGAGCACATGATGCGGTCCGGGTACTCCTCGCGGATTTTGCTGATGACGAGTGTCCCCAGTCCAGAGCCGGTGCCGCCCCCTAGCGAGTGGGTGAGCTGGAAGCCCTGCAGGCAGTCACACTGCTCCGACTCCTTCCTCACGATCTCCATGATGTTGTCCACCAGCTCGGCTCCGTCTGTGTAGTGACCCTTGGCCCAGTTGTTGGCGGCGCCACCTTTGCCGGAGACGAAGTTATCAGGTCTGTAGACAGTGAGCAAGTCTCGGTAAAGATATTCAGTTATCTAGTCTGTAGACAGTACATATTACGGTCAAAGTTTCAGTCATCTGGTTTGTAGACAGTACACATTATTGTAAAGATCAGATATTAGGTCTGTTAACAGCAGTCTCGGTAAAGAAATTAAGACATCTGGTCTGTAGACAGTACACATTACGGTAAAGATATTCACATATCTGGTCTGTAGATAGTACACATTACAGTAAAGATATTCAGTTATAAAGTCTGCAAACAGTGAACACCAAAAATGACTGACTGATTGACTGACTGTCTCTGTGTGTGCGTGTGTGTGTGTGTGTGTGTGTCTCTCTGTGTGTGTGTGTGTGTGTGTGTCTGTGTGTGTGTGTGTGTGTGTGTGTGTGTGTGTGTCTGTGTGTGCCCGTGTGTGTGCATGTGTGTATGTGTGAGTGCACATATGCGTGTGGGCAAGTGTTTGTCAATGTGTGTGTTTGTGTGGGTGTGTATGTGTGAGAGAGA